AAAACGGCACTTAAGGCCCGCGAACCCGTCTCGTCCCGTTTGTTAGCGGGACATGATGGGCCTACCGTTCCGTCTTGTCCCGTCCCATCCCGTTTGTTAGCGGGACGGGATGGGCCTACCGTTTCGTCCCGTTTGTCCCGTTTCGTCCCGTCCCGTCCCGTTTGACAGCCATACCTTATGCTTATCCATATATTTATAACAGTGAGGAGTTTAGGAGCAAATTGCATGTAGAGCAACTTTTTTGCATGTTGGCACTTTCATCGTTGCTATTTAGTGCCGAAACCGTTACTAGATTTCTCATTTTATCTGCTTCTTCTGCAGGCAATACAATTGGGACAAGATGCAAGTTCTCCTTTTGGGTTATTCAATGGACAGAGATGTCAGATGTGTCTAAGGTCCGACCCTTTGCATAAAGTAATGGAGCGACTTGCTGTTCCTGGTAAATGTCTTCAGTCTTCTATTTGTTTGAGACTTTCAGTTTGCATTCTGTATCTTTGCTTTTGATATTTTTACCTTTGCTAAAGTTGTGCCAAAAGAGAGCTTTTTCCTTGTCCATCTCTGTTTCTGATGTGTTGCGGTTATGCAAACACCGAGGAATATCACCCGCTTAATCTTTTAGATGGAAATATCCCATTTTATTGACTACTTTACCTGAGATAATGTGTATAGCACATTTTTCTACCACTGTCAGCTTCTTCTATTTTGTCTATCTTGTTTACCCTTCTTTTATTTATCCACGTTGCATTTCTTATTTGCTGATGTACGAGATTGCTATAACTGTATTCCCTCCTCTTCCTAGTTTATGTTGCTTTCCTTGTGAGTTTCTACTGTGTGGACTCAAAGTTTACAACACATTTTCCTGCGCAATTTGTAGCCTTCAATGACTTAAATGAAAGAATAAATAAGCAAATCTTGGGTATACTTTCAGGAGCAAGGAGACTTGTCATTGTGGAGGCTGGCAGCAAGCGCGTGGAAGGCATTGTTTCAGTGAGTGATGTATTTAGGTTCTTGCTCGGCTGCTGATTCAGCCTGGTGATCGCCCCACCTTTTTGGGCTTTGTTGTGGTGGCTTTATGAAGAAGCCATTGCTTGGCACTCATGCTAGTTACTCTTCAGCAATGCCCTTTTCTCATAGTTGCATTTGTTGTTGGTCTTGAAATGTGTGGAGTCCTGATTGGCTCATGCTTTTGACCCCTTCTTTTTCCAGGATGTGAGTTCAGAAAGAAAGAAATGTCTGTAAATTGAGAGGATCCCAATTTTTCCCTTATTTATATTTTAAAATTTCACTACCTTGTTATTATCAACCATGCCATAGTGTAGCTGCTCTGTTTTATCTCTACTAGCTAACAAAATAGCGATGAAGGTGTCAGTAGCTGTATAGTTTCTCATGATGCTGGTTAGTTGCTGGGAGGCTACTTACCAAAAACACAGTTCTGTGTCAAGTTGTTTCCATTAGAGCCAATAACCAAAGCCCCCATGGAGTTAGAGTTGCTCATATTTTACAAAAGATTGTGACTATATGTCGGATCTGTGAGGAATGATGCATTGTACTGAGAATATCCCACAAACTTTTTTTGGTTTTATTTATTTCCGAGTTTAATAAGTTCAGTTTTTATTTTTCTACATCACAAAATGCAGTCTGGAAAATATTTAGAAGAAAGTAGAGAGCGTTGGACACCATATCTTTTGCCCTCAAACGTGGATTTGTATGTCCAGGAGCGTTGAAGAGATCTAAGTTAAAATACTAGATTTAGTTTTATATACGAGCTTGAGTAAAACTATAACTTGCGTATAAGTGCAGATAATTGTAAAAGAGAAGACTTAGATGGTGTTTGGATTGGCTTATTTTAAGTGTTTGTTGGCTTTTAAGCACTTTTCTAGTTTTACAAACGCATGAGTAAACATTACCTCCTGATGAATGATTTCAGGTCGTCCTTGATACGAGCATACAGTATGTTGCTCTTGTAAAAGCTTCGAACTCAAGTACATTGTATTGCAGTTCTTTCGTGCTTTAAGTAGCGGTAGTTTTTGTTCAAATTTTTCTTTAGCATTAAAAAGAGATTATCTCTCAATTATATTTCAAACAATGGCTAAATATTAAAAAGAGGTCCAAAGAATTGTGGAAACGACATCAGGTAGTCACTTTTAAGCATGCTGTTGAAAATACATCCACAATTTACATTGTATTTAAAGATTAGCCAATTTGCTCAAACTTTAGGACATCGATTATATCCAGAATTTGAATCTTATGTCCTGAATTTAAAATCAGGATACTTTGTCCTGAATTTCAAATTAGCAGTTTAAATATTAATGATATTTAGTCCTGAACTTTAAATTTGCAGCTAAAACATTATAGATACTTAGTCTTGAAGTTTGATGATTTGGCTAATCTTTAAATATATTATAAATTATGAATATATTTTAAATAGCAGGCTTAAAAGTGATTACTTGTACTTCAACCCCAATTTTTATCATGAAGAATTAACCCAAATAGTCGCTCACCTAATCTTTTAAACTAAAAATAGCCGGCGGATTTATAATATATGTATAATTCATAGATAATATATGCATAATTATGTATCATCAATGTATAATCTATGTATACCGCTAGAAAAAGTAAACATTGAATATGGCCGGCTATTTGTGTAACAATCCCTTATACCATTTATGGCTCAAAGATTGGGCCATAAAAGCATTAGGGCCTACTAAAAGCCTTTTAGTGTTATGCAGCCCAAATATTAATTTTTTTTATTTTTTATTTTTTAACTTTTAAGCAGCCAAAAGATTTCTTTTCAAATAAAGTAATCCGCCCAGGAGTTACAAAATAAAGGCACAAATAAATATAATCTTAAATGAGACGTTTCCATTCATTTGCGGCTATGAATTCGACCGTTAGAACCCAGATATCCGTTGGCAACAAAAGTCAAGACACCTTTTTCCTTGTATACTTCTGCTGCATGTAGAAACTCAGCACCAATCCCCTACTCCCAAGTGCCAACAACCCCTCCCCCAACAACACACACTATCTTGAGTCTTGACTTCCACTTCGGAGACAAAAGGGAGTTTGAGGAGCGTAGAGAAAGAAGAGACCCACACTTCTCTTTTCGTTGGGTTAAGAAGTGAAAGCGAAAATGGTAGCAAGAACCCCACCAAAGTTGCAGCTTCACAAGAAAATGGTGCTGCCTCCTCCTCTTAACCCCATTCTTCTTAGAGAAACTCTTAACAAGGTTGGTGGTGTCCTTCATTATTACAAGCAAGAACAAAAAAAAAAAGAAGAACCTTTTCTTCTTTGTTTATTACTTGTTCCCCACTCCTCTCCACATCAATGACGCTCCTCCTCTTCTTTTGATCTTTTTTTTTTTTGAAAAAACTTGTTATCTTATGTTTCAAAAGTGAATAAGGAAATCTATTGAAGTATCAGTGCTGGGTATTTCTTACTTTTGTGAATTGGGTTCTTTTTTGTTGAGTTATAAGAGCTCAATTCTGTCAACTAGGGATTTTTTTAAGTCCCTGTTAGTAAGATCCTTTGATTTCATACTGAATTCTGAGAAATGAGTTCTCATTTGTATCTGAGTTTTTTTTCTTTTGGGTGGAGGAATGGGTCTTTCTTTTGGACTTATAAAGTTCAATTGGATGTACTGATAATTTCTTCAATGTAGCGTAATTTTATGGTGTCTCAGATACTAAAGCTTTCATCTTTCTATGGTGTCTTCTCTTTCTGAAAAATTTGTCTTTCTTATTGACTTCCCTCAGTATTATTATGGGTGTCAGACTCATCATTTTGATTAATCATTGGGATCTTCTGGTTTCAGATAATAAAATATTTTGATCTCAGTCATGGCTCTTTGCTGTTTCTGAAATTTACTTTCCCCCCCTCAAATTTTGGAAGTACTAAAAAGATCATCTTTTTGCTAGAAAGGTGTTGAAAATTGCAAAACTTTAGCTGATTTTGTGAGGTGATTTTGGTTGAAGGTGGACAAGTGTATGGCTCGATTGCAAGAGCTTCAGTACACAGTTACAGGTGGTAATAAGGTTATTTCCGGTGTAACTCTCAGTCCTCGTAGCACCAGAGGCTATTTGAAGACTAGCCTCAGATGCAAACAAGAATCTTTGAGGTACCCAGAAATCAGAATACTAACTCCTTATGATTTTTGTACCTTTTTTTCTTTTTACAGTTTGATTAATGTCTTCTTAACTTCTCTAACCCAATTCTCTGTACTAATTCAAAAGGATCAAGAATGCTACTTCGCGTAAATCTCCTCCAGGGAAATTGCCCACAAATGCAGGTAACTTTCTGTCTTTTATAATTAAGTGACTTGTGATTTTGGTTTCCAAAATTGTATCAATATTTTGTGACTTGGTGGAAGCAGGTGAATGGCGTCGAATGTCATTACCAGCAATGCTTCTGGGAGAGACAGTGGCTGAAATTAAACAGGCAAGTCAATTTGCTAGAGAAATAGTGGAAGCAGTAGGATCCAAGGGAACAAAACCAGACCCTAAAACTCCACTCACACACTGGAAAAACCAGAAGCCAAGCCCCGAAAACTCTGAGCTCCGATCACGTAGAAAGAGAGAGAAACAGGTAACCTTGCAATCAATGCGGTCTGAGTCCGATACACCATCAAAACAGCAACGAGCAAAATCGCGAATAAACTTCAAGGTTTCTCCATTGCAGAAGAGTGAATGTGAGAAAGAAGATTGCAAGTACGTTGCAAATAGAGTTTCCCCTAGGAATAGGCCATGGGTGAAAAAAACTGTTCTTTTCCCAAACCCATTGTTCCATTCATCACCAACTTCACAGCAGCAGAAACTCACCAAAACAAAGTCTCCAATGATTGTAAGAAACCGACGAACACCCCATAAGTTCTTGGTGAAGTCCCCGCTCAAGGCGTCAACGTCGTTTCTAGTGAAAAACAGAAGCCCTCAAAAACTTTCTGTATCTTCTCCTACCAGAGTAACAAGTTTGAGCACTAAGTTGTTGGTGAAGTCCCCTCCTAAGTTTCAAGTGAAAATCAGGAGTCCTCCAAAATTTTCGACATCTCCTACAAGAGCAACAAGTTTGAGCAAGAGGTCTCCAAAGATGTCTACAGCTGCCAAATTGAGAAGGTCATTTTCTCCATCAAGATTGGCAAACAAGCTAGCTTCTTCACCCTCCAAATTGAGGTCATTTTCGCCATCAAGATTGGCAAGTAGGTTAGCTTCACCGTTAAAGAGCAAAAAATCTGTACAGAAGATTGACGGGATGAAGATGATGATGAGTGGACTCAAACAGAGACAACGAGCTTCAACCACATCAATGCAATTCTCAGTTCAGGGAATGTAAATGAGCGTGATCATGGTTTGTGCTTGAAATTTGATATTTTCTTAATGTCCTTGTTAAAACGGTACAACAAGAGTACTTTTCCCTTTTTCGATCCCTTCTATTACTTTTAAAGATTGTATAATTTGATTTGTGAACTTATGAGGTACTTCCTCAATAATGTACATAATAATGGTTTTCTGACGAATGAAATTTACTTTCAGTGTATAGTTTGGCTAGGTTCAGCCTATCATTTCGTGAACCTCTTAAAATGAATGATATACTGCATACATTCTCATAGGCTTAAGAAAATGGCATGCTTTTGCGCAGAAGATAAAAGCTATGGAAACCAAGGAAATAAAGGTCGAAGCTACAGCTCCAAATTGAGAGAATGGCAATCCTGAAAAGGAGCTTATGCACCAAGGATGACGACTAATACTGTCTTTCTCCTCAAAAGCTTCGTATGAGTTTGGTACGCTAATGCTTACACAGGAAGTATCTATTTTTATACAATAATCTATATCAAGAAAAGTATCATCCTTGGATGGATTGCTATTAGTGGAAAGGTCAGTAATCTGGAAAAATCTTCAACTATTTAACTTCTTATAGGAAAAATTTAATCATCTAGTAAAATGAAAAAGAAACATTAGTTAGAATAGAGGAATATGTTAGTCTACTTGGGAAGAGTTTCATTTGAGATGACTTTACATAGTGGACTAGAGTTTTGTGCTATGAGAAAGCTACTTCAGAACTTCTGAGATGAGAATCTGATGATGGTGTGATCTTATGAGGATTGTTCAAACTTAGAATGTGGGAGCGAGTTGCAGATAGAGGTAAAATATACTATTTCTCTTGCTATACAAAGCTGGTAGCTTTCAAGAGAGAGTTTAACTTCTATACACTGATCGGATTTTTATACTATCATGTCACTTAAAGATAACGACAAGGTAACCGTCCATAAAAGATGGATTAGTAAACTAAAAAATAAAGCAGGTTACCTGTTACAGTAGTTTAAAATACCCTGACAGTGTAAAAATATTTTATGTAACTAAGTGAATTTTCCTAGTACAATCAGTAATGTTCCACCTGTACATCAATCTCATATCATACAATATTCAGTCAGTTGCAGCTACTTTTCCCGGACACTTGGTGCGTATCCCAGCATCTCATATGCCGCACCATTTATAAGGACTTTGGTAACATAGCATAACGTTGACAGTCTGTGTCTTAAATAACATTTCCCCTATGGTCCATGTGATAACTTCAGTATTGCATAGCATTTGAGGTGGTAGTCTCTGTTCAACTTGCAAGTTTTTCCACACAAGGTGGTCTCCTAGGAGGATTTTCATGATTTAGAACCAGTCTACATGTTTGGTTGAGGCCTTAGGTTGCTTCTTGGGCTTTTGGTAGCGATTGTTCTCAAATCGGGCTTTTACAATTAGCGAATAAAGTAAGTTTGCTTCTGCTGATGTATCATAAGGTGTGCTCATGATGCTACAAAATAGAAAACCTCACAAAATTAATGATAAAAAGAAAAGGACAGGAACAGCAGCAAAAAAAAGTAAAAAAAATTAAAATACAATTCCAACGGCTTGAAGCCACGAAGAGAACACTGTTATAACATACAGATGCTATCCCATGTAAACAAATCTATAAACTTCTTTTCGTTTTGGGATTCTTCTTGTTGGAAAGTTTGCCTTCTTCCATTTTTTACAAAAGCAGGATGAACATTGAGTCGAGCAGTAAAAATACCTGCCAAGTAGCTCTTCAAGAATTATTCTTTGAGAAGGTGTAACATAATGTATGCAACTCTTGGGGCATTGACCAGCTGCAAGCTGGACTTGATAATCTTCACCATGTCCTGAATATATACAACTTTTGGTTCACTAGATAGATAAACCCTTCTTTTAATCGGCCAAACAAAAAAATATAGATAATTGTCTTTCACTATTTGCTAATTGCTATGTTTCCTTTTATTCACTGAAAAAACATTATTTTTCACTAGAAATCTTTTCCTGTTAGCAGGCTAATTTTCTGATGATAGTAGCAAGGGCCAAGGAGTTCAGTATTTAGTACTCCACTACTATATGACCTTGAGAAATAGCGCGTGCAGTTCCCATTAAAGAGGAAAAAGTGAATGCATGAGGCGCTTTCTCAACGCATGAAAACGGACATCCTGCATATATCATGAAAAAAAGAGATCAGGAACTATGCAAATTCTGACAGTTAAGTGAATGTGCTTCCAAAAGACAGTCTACAGGAAGAATCACTTGCTGGCTACGACAGATTTTTGAAGTTGTTACCTTTTCCAATGCAAACTGTCTCGTTAACAAATAGATCAAATGCTTCACATTCTGGTTGATCAAATGGATCCAAGCATTCCCTGTGGAACTCAAACAGTAAATATGACAAATATTTATTACCTGAAGGACCACTACTCCAAAAGAAGAAGAAAAAGTAGAGGAATGCTGTAGCAATTATCATTAGATTGAGTTGTGACAATTCAACTGAATGGAATTTCAGGATTTCGTATAGCCCCAATTTACCTTTCAATGATCTCTGACTTGGTGAAGTTAGACAACATCTGCTTTCATTTCAAACGATAGAAGTCAGCTATCATTTGAGAAAGAAAATTTAAGCAACCAAAAGATAGCATCCTGATTTGGCATTTCCTCTATAAATCTAATAGGCCTTATATTATATTCTTAGGTTTTATGAAACAGTTTGGACTTTGGAACCAAATCTTATAACTTAGGACAGAGTATCCTTAAATTGCTTTCCATTAAACCAGTTTATTAAACCTGAAAAAACTGGTATCTAGCTGCAGCTTTTCTATCTTACTGCCTGCATATTACTCGCTTGATATCATAATAAATTCTTGCTTATACTTTGGAATTTTCTGCATGTTCTACAACTCAAAGCTAACTAATGTTGAGTAAAAAGCATGAGACCAAAATGGATGATTTGTTTGATCTTAGGACAATTTACCTCATAGGCTTGAATGACTCGTCGAATCATTTTATCTGGACTATCCCCATCTCTCCTTACATCAGGATGAAACTTCTTAACCTGTGTCCATTAATTATTAAACCAAACGAAAAAAATCATCACTAGCAGTTTTTAAGTATGCTTGCAAGCACAACAACAACAACAACAACAACAACGACCCGGTAGAGAGGTTGTTTCCGATACAACAACGACCCAGTATAATCCCACTAGTAGGGTTTGAGGAGGGTAGTGTGTACACAGACCTTACCCCTACCCTGGGGTAGAGAGGCTATTTCCGATAGACCCTCGGCTCCCTCCCTCCAAGAACTACTCACCTTGCTCTTGGGGTGACTCGAACTCACAACCTCTTGGTTGGAAGTGGAGGGTGCTTACCACTAGAGCAACCCAATCTTGTACAGAAAAGTAAAAAAGACAAACTTTTTTTTTTCAGAAAGCAAAGGAAAAAACAGGACAATAGACATGGATTCTTGAATGGTTTATCCAAAAATGCAAAATTTGTAGTAGTACCTTATTCCGGAAAGCGGATTTCAGCTCATGAGCAGAGCAATTAGGAGCAACACCAAGAATATCATATGCCAAAGAAGCATTGAGGGGTTCTTCATCACCATAATTCTGACCATAACACTTGGCTTTCAAAGAAGAAGAAAGGGAAGCAAAGTGGTGGGTAGAAGTTAAAGGAAAAGAAGAGGTTGATGGAAACTCAGGAGTTGTTGGAAATAAAGCTGAAGTTCCAATTACACTATTTTTGTTGAACAGAGATGAGCAATATTCCATCTTTCTTGATCATTTATGGGGAAAAAAAGAAAAAGGCAATATGGGGTTGTGTAAGAGATATTCTGTCTCCATATTGTAGCCATTCAAGTGGTCCTTCTTCGCCTATGAGATTAGTGGTGAGGTTTATTTCCAAAAAATCAAGTCGCTGTCCTTTTTATTTTTTTATTTTTCTGCCTAAATAGGCAATTGTGGATATTGTGAAGAATTTTGTCCTTTTAAAAGAAACTTAAAAAGCGGAAAAATTAGATACACTTTTTAATACTCCATCAAATTTGTATTTCCTGTTAAGCTGACTTTTCTTCTTGTTTTCATGTAGTAATTAGGATAAAGGTTGTTTAGCTTTCAGGGTGGGTTCGGTACTAAGGAAATGAAAAAAATAAGTAATTCCCACACATATTTTCTAGTGTTTAATAAATAATAAAAACATATCACGTGACAAATTTACTAACTTTTGGGTGGGGGGAGGGAGTATTGTAGGGGCAGGGGATAGGGCAGCGCGGAGGGTGTCACGATCCGAAATTTTTCACCGACGGAACCGTGATGACGCCTAACATTTCACTTGTTAGGCAAGCCAACGTTAGAGAATCTCACGTACACGGCGCCCACACACCAAATAATATCAAGATATCCTAAGGGGAAAGTCTCCAACACAAGGTTAGGCAAGCCACTTACGGTCCCGTCGGTGAAAAATTTCGGACCGTGACAGAGGGTGAGAGAGTGAAAACCAATAATTGGGAATGACACGGGAGAGTTTCAAAAAATTGATCCCTAATTAGAGGAAAATGTAATTTTAAGGAATATGTTTTCAAATCATTTAAGACAATCAAATATAGAAAAATTTAAGAATATTCTTTGAAAAATATTTTCGTCCATACCAACACACCATTAATATCAATTTTGGATACTTTATGTGAGTTGAATAATCAATCCGAGTATTAGCTTGTTTGGTCAAGTTTCTTTTCGGCCAAAAATATTTTTTAAATTAAGTAGTCAAACATAAATTGTTTCTCACCAGAAATATTTTTTTGATAAGTTCATTTTAAAAGTTTGGCCAAACATACTATCTTTGTAATTGACTCCAGTAAATAAGCTATTCATAGGAACACAAATATTAATGCTAGTCTTTGCCATCCATCTCCCGCTAGTCAGATCAATTGCATAAAGTAAAAGTTAACTGTTATGCTAGGACAGCAGCGAAGCTGAATCAGAATGTAGCCACATCAACATAAATGGATAACCAACGTCCAACTACATTACTAATGATTTTAAGTTCTCTGTGTTTTCAAAATACTTTTTTATACTCTCAGATTATTTTCAATGTAAACTAACATAATATCACCAATAGTGTAATTTTTTTTTGAAGTCAATGCTTATTAAATCCATTACTAATTACTGTAACCTTACGTGATAAAACTTTAAAAAGACCAAATTAAATCATAGGAGTAGTACTTCCTTTTTATCTCATGCAATGAGTGTCTCTAGAATCTAGATTATGATTATGAAAGTCGACTTGTATTTGTATTAGACTAGTGCCTTGTCAATATAAGCAATGAATAACTTGGTAAATGACATCTTTGCAATGATTAATCCAAAAGAGCAACGGCTCTAACAAAGAGGATCAAAGGCAAAGGGGCGGTGAGTCAAAAAAAAAATCCTCTATTATGGTATTGTTCTATATAAACAGGAACCAAACAACTTAAAGCAATATACTTTAAACTTATCATCTCTATCACTTTAAGATTATCTCAAAATGGAATCACGGAAAGTCTGTCTTACAGTACTTGTTTACTTCGTTCAATCCTTTCCTATACTTGTTCCAGTTGAAGCCATTAATACTGCATCTTTACCTCTCACAAACACTAGTGAAGCCAAATTAAGATGTGTTGAGAGTGAGAAGAAAGCCCTATTAAGAGTCGAGCAAAGTCTCACAGTCACAGATCCCTCAGACCGATTGGCTTCTTGGGTTGGCAAAGAGTGCTGCATTTGGGAAGGTGTTTCTTGTGACATACAAACTGGTAATGTAATCAAGCTTGATCTCAAGGATACATCAAACAATTGCTATTTGAAGAAAGTGGGATATTTGATTTCAGGCAATCCTTCATCATGATTGGGTGGCAAGATAAGTCCTGCTTTAGTAGACTTGCAACACTTGAGTATTTAGACTTTGGTGGAAATGACTTCCAAGGACTTGCCACTCCCAGTTTCTTGGGTTCTCTTGAAAAATTATATTATCTTAACCTCCGTCTTTCGTCTGGTAACAACCCAGCCCGTTAGTGATATTGTACGCTTTGCGCTTAGGCCCTCAAGGGTTTAAAACGCGTCAGTAGGGTCTAAGACTTGTTAACTTATGTACCCAACATCCCTCTTGTGTTTTACCGATGTAGGACTCTGTATAAAGTCTGGGGTGTTACATACACCCCCTCTTATGGACTCAGCGTCCTCGCTGAGGTTTGCCTCACCGCATGAGATTCGCCTGGACTCAGTACTGAGATTTACCCCGCCTAACCGGGATTTGCCTAAATTCAGTTGAACTCTGACCCACCATCGGCAAGGCTGACACAAGAGTGACTCTGATACTATCTGTAACAACCTAGACTTTAGACAGAGTCCCACATCGGTAAAATACAAGAGAGATGCTGGGTATATAAGTTAACAAGCCTTAAACTCTAGTGACACATTTTAAACATATGAGGGCCTAGGCCCAAAGCGGATAATATCACTAGCGGGTTGGACTGTTAAACATCTCTTATTGGTATTCCTCCTTCATTTTGAAATCTATCAAACTTACAATATTTAAGAAGCCTATTTGCATAGAGTCATTGAAGGCCTAAGATCGAACGTCGAGTGGGGTAAACTCTGTATTTTGTGGGAGTTGTATCTAAAGCAGAATAAAATTAATGGAGACGTAAGTCGAGTAGTGGACGGGCTGTCTAGCTGCAGCAATATGACCATAGAAGTCTTAAGATTTTCTAAAAATCAGTTGACAGGTGTTTACCGGAAAAATCGGATAACGTTAGATTTGTATATGGTTCTAAGGATATGCAATACTATTTGATATAAATCGCGTAGAGAAATGGAAATATGTGTATTGTTGGCTGTAAGAATAAAAATAATAAGCAAAAAGAATGAATAAGTAAAACAAGCACAAGTGGATAACTATCAATATAAAAAATAATCTTTTTCCGGCCTCCCATAACTTACAAGGATTTCCCCTTTTATAGAAGAGAGTCATTACAAAAACAATAAAATAAAACATATAGTGGAAGGCCCATGATGACTTGTCTCTTCCTTGATTCCCGCCAAGATTCTCTCTCTTGGTGTGGTTGCAACAGCTCTTATCTGTGAGCTCGATACTAGCTCAAACTCGTTACTGGGTCGGGCCCTTCGGTCTTGGATTGAGTTCGACCTTCGAGATGGGCGTCGCACATTTCCGACCTCGAAGCAGTGCCTTGCGGATCGATTCGGTCACGGGCTCGATAGGATTATCGAGCCGCCTCCTCGAGCGACCTTCGGGCTCGAGGTTTGTTAGTACCGACCTCAGAGCTCACTCCCAAAATCTCATTCCGACTTTTTAACACTCGAACTCGATCGAACATAGGAAGGCCAAAATCTATTTTGACCGTATACAGATAGTCCCCTCATTTCTCGAAAAAAGGATGTGGCGAGAAACGATATGATTTTCCAGCAGCTCGATCAGATATACACTGATGTTTTTATCGATCCCGACCATGACGTATGTAATGCTCGATCATCTTATGCGTCTTTACAGTCCCCGACTTTATCAAGGATACCCGAATTTTTTCTTCCCCTGTGGGAATTGCCAGTTACCTTCGGTCCTTGATGACCGGAGAAGATCAATTAGTGATGAATGCGGTGGGGGCCGCCTGTCTTTTCAACGAGGCCCAACATGCTTTGAATCGGGTAACTTTTGATGGCATTTTCGCCGCTTCTTTTACACAGTTGTAGGTAATACTAATGTTTCTCCTTTTGTTTGCAGGCTTCGATGTTGCATCACGAGGCTTTTCTCTGAATCAGAGAGGAGCATGATGCCGAGGTTTGGAGCCTCACTGAGAATAGTGACTCGTACAAGCTTCTTAAAAAACACTTCGAGCAGATTTAACAGCGGCTCGGGAAGAGCATGAGCAGATGGCTGAGCAGGTATTCCGAATTTTCCATGATAGTGAATATGAAAAAGAGATAACCACTAATGATCCGATTCTGCAGGTTTGGCAGAGGATCGAGAAGATTGGACGGCTTAATTCACAGGTAGATGCGCTGCTGACCGAGGCAGAAGAATTTAAAAGGTGTATGGATAACCTTGTCTCAAAAAAAGGAAGCCATCGAAGCTCAGTTGGAGCTGTCCGATGCCCAACTTTGATTTGCGAAAGAAAATGCTTTGGGGCTAATCGAAAAGATGAAAGAGCTTCAGCATCGGTTGGATTTGGCCACTTTAGATAAAGCAGATTTGGCCAAAGCTCTCGAAGTGGCCAGATCTGAAGTGGTCGAGGCCAACAAAAGAGCCGATGCTAAAGTGGCTCAGTTCAGGATCGATGTCGAAGTTAATCAAGCCAAAGCAGTGGGCATGGTCGAACATGCAAAGTGACAGGCTCAGAGAGAGGCTCTCGAAGGGGTCAAAGCTCAGGGCTTCGATATTGGTGCCGAGATTGAAGTCGCCAGGGCGGAGGAGAACAGATCTCGGAGGTTGGCCTTTCCTGAGGAGGAATCCGATGACTCGAGGGAGTCTGAACATGAGGACGATGCCGAGAATACGGCCTCCGATGAAGATTGAGTCATTTAGGGCCTTAGGTCAATCGCTGCGTTCTTGTGATAACGCTATCGGTTTTTGGATAAAGAA